CGTCCTGAGTAGCTGAGGCACATGCCATCACATCCAGCTGATTTTGAAATTTTTTTTGTAGAGCCTGGGTCTTGCTTTGTTGCCCAGGCTGTCCTCAAACTCCTGGCCTTCTGCCTTGGCGTCTCAAAGCGCTGGGATTACAGGAGTGAACCACTGTACCTAGCCTTGCTTTTTGATAGTTTTTTTCTTTTTTTTGGTCCCAAGAGTTTTAACGCTGACAGTTCTTCAGGGGATCCAATAGGACACTCCACCCAGTTGCCTACACTGCTGCCTCCACCAGGAGACAGGGGGACAGCAGGTGCCTGCCTCCTGCGCAAGAGCTCTGAATGGCTTGCCCCCTTTCCAAGACTGGAGGTGATACAGACCAGAAAGAGGCAAGGGAGGCCAACAGAGCGGGAAGACCTGGAGGGTGGGACAGGCTTCTTTTTGTCTGATACCCTCTGTAGAGCTCCTGGCCCTACTCACCATCTTTGAGGCTAGCGACACCCAGGGCCTGGGCAGTGTGCAGAGTGAGGCGCTTCTGTGCATCCTGGATATAGGCCATGACTGGCATGGGGTAGAAGTTGGCCTGGAGGGGGAGCTTCTTCAGATACCGCCGGGGCTGCACCTGTGGGGGCAAGGCCAGCAGAGATCAAGGGAACCTGGGCACCATGTAGGCCCCAAGCGGTCCCAGCCTGGAGGAGTCCCTGATCATTCTCGCCTCTCATTCCTCTTTCTCCATCAGGACAGATCATCCCCCAAGGCCTGTGATATGGGCAAAAACACAGTCCAAGTTCTACTCTGTGGGGTCTCTAAGACTCAGACCCAGGAATCACCTGAAAGCCATTGAGGTCTGTGAAGAAGGTGCCCTGGCTGTCGATGTCTGTGTGGATGCGCAGGGCCAGCTCCTTGTTGACGTAGTCCCGGATGTCCACGAGGGATGACATGTCCAGAGACAGCCCCTCCACCCCTGGGCACAGGAACAAAGTGGGGGCATGGAGAGGTGTGAGGCTGAACCACAGCTGAGAGGCTGGGCTGGGGGGTTAGAGCTGAGCTGGGGAGAGGCTCTGTCCACCCTCCTGAGAAAGTCCCAGGGGACTTCTGGATGACTTTTTCTCCAAGAGAATGGAGCACCCCTGTCTCAAATGATAAGGAACAGAGGTATGAACAGAGACGCAGCAGAAGGAAGAATGCACCACAGCTGTGGAGCCCATGCCTCCTACCAGACGTGTCCTTGTGTGCAGGGCCCACCTGGCAGATTGTAAAGCCGGACCACCTGGTGAACATGCTCGTAGTACGCAACCACTTCTGAGAAGAAAGGGCCTTCAGTGACACGCAGCACGGGGGGCTCCTTGGGGACGTAGGGCTGGGGAAAGAGCAGACTGCTGTTGAACCCACGGCACACAGGGCAAAGGGGGGCGGTGCCAGCCCAGGCCTGGGCAAGAGAGCACCTATTCCCAGATATCCCTAGGCTGAACGGCAAAGACAAGGCCCCCGGCAGGCAGCAATAAACCTGTGGGAAGGCCTGTGCCCCTCCTGCCCTCCCTGCTACTGAGATCTCCTGGGGCCTGCCAGGTTTCTCAAGGCATCTTTAGGGTACCTTGGCCTCGCCATCAGGTAGGAAGAGGTAGGCTCCACTCTTGTCTTTGGACGTACGGGTGCCATAGACAAGGAACTCCATGTCCACCTGCTGCTCCTGCTCCTCATCCACCCTTCGGATGCTCTGCCGAAAAACATAGCCCTGACCCCTGGCCCCACACCAGCATGTCAGGCCTGCCTCCTGGAAGGACGTGACTAGCTTCCCCAAGGAGCCACGCCCAACTTCCCCATGCTGTCAACCTGGAGCTGAGATGGCCCAGGCTCGGGTCCACTGTGGGTCAGGTGGCAGCGTGCTCACAGGGCCGGCTCTGCACAATGCCACCACCACGCATGCCCACTCTGGCCCTAGCCCTTCTCCGCCACCCTGGCCCTTTACCTTGAGGAGCCCAGTAAGGCCTGAGAACCAGACCTGCATGTAGCGGTTGCTGAGGGCGAAGTCACTGGTGCCAGATTCAATGATGCGGAGAGGGAACACTTCGTGCCTGCTGACGGACAGCTGCCGGCCGTGCAGGTAGAGGCGCACAGAGGAAGGCAGCGTGCGGTGCCCATCCAGGCCCAGCTGCAACTGCAGCACGCCCAGACCCAGGGCTGGCAGGCAGACAGGCACAGACACCTGTGGGCATAGGAAGGGTGAGAAAGCGGGGGCACGGCATTCACCACAGGGGTGCTGGAGCACTCACTTACTAACAGAGGCCTGAGCAAGTCCCTGCACCTGCTGGGGCCTCTGCCCCTCCTCCAAAGTGGAGGTGACATGATTTGCACTTTCTTTCTCATCAGACTTTATAATTCTCAAGTGATATTTGAAAAAGTACGAAGTGGTAACCCCACATTAAGATTTCAAAAAATACTGAATGACTGAGTGATAGAGCATTATAACTGCTATTTTTACCATTACTATTACCATATCAACCTTCCCCTTCCTTTCAAGGACAGACTCAAATCCCAAGAGTGCCTGTCTGCGGGGCAATCCCTCCCTCCCCAGGACACCTGTCCCCAGCCTGGGGAGGAGGCAGGGCCCCAAGCAGGAGGTTTGGGGGCTGGTACCACTGGGTGGGGAGGGGCCCACCTGCCGAGCCCTTGCCTCACCTGGTAGACATCAGGGACCACCTCGGTGGCAGAGCTCCAGTGTGCGCTGATCTGCACAGCCAGGGGCTGGCCCTCCTCCGAAAGGACGCGCACACGGGGCGAGTTGACCAGCAGGGACACCACACTGAACCGCTCCTGTTCCAGCGGGTTGAATAGCACCACAAACCTGTGCGTAGAAGGCAGGATGACGCAGGAGGCCGTGGCTCCGAGCCAGGGCAAGTGCCCTGCAGTGGCTCAGCACGTGTGGGCCCAGAGGGGCCTCAGAGCCAGGGAATGGCTCTGCCTCTCTGCACCTGGTGTGGTCCAGCTTACCTGGGCGAGGAATCTAGCTGGATTACTGTGCGCTCTGGCAGGGCATCATGACTTAAGCGAGTGTCGTCCTGGAATTCAGTGGGCCAGAAGGGAAGAACCATCATGGGCTTGGCCTCCTCCCGCCCCGCCTGTCCTGGGTGGATCAGCAGCTGCACTGGGCACAGAACTCATCGGATGGGGAGGGAGGGAGAGGAGCGGCACCCTCGTCTAGCAGCTCTTGGGAGGAACGGCATAAGCTGGAGGGTTCCCATGCAGACCCAGGAGGGGCTCACCACTTGAAGGAAGGGCGCCTCCGGGTCAAAGTGGTAGGTCTCCTTGTCCCTCAGCACCAGATAGTGAGCTGCATGAATGATGACCTGCTTCAGGTTGACAAGGGAGCGCAGAAGCCTGTGGGTGGCGCAGGAGAGGAAAGGAGAGAAGATGAGCTCGGTGAAGCTGTCTGCCCTGTCCGGAAGACAAGCCCCAGGCTGGCCTACCCCCTCACCACCCAACATCCTTTATCTGGGACAGTGAGCGGGGGAACTGATGAGGGAGAAGAGAAGGCTCCCACCTGACCCCGTAGTCCACCACCACAGCCTCCTTTGCAGTGCCAGTGATGGCGTCGTGATGTTGGAAGAGCCCCAGTGTGCGCCGAGCTTCCGTCAGGAGGGTAAAGTCAGACAGCGGGTACCGGCCAGCCAAGCCAGAGTGGCGGGTGTGAGCTGCAGCCAGGCTGTAGAGAACCTCTGCCCCCCTGCCCAGAGAGAGAAGTTAGCTGCCAGCCTGCACTACTCCCCAGGGCCCACCCACACTCTGCAAATCCATCCTCCCTTCCCTGCCCTGGCCTCTGGGCCCATCTATTCCCTTCTGAGCTGATCCAGCCCCTCCTTAAACCCCAAAGACTGACTCTACCCCCTCTAGCCTGGAAGCGGGGACAGGGTCTCACCGCAGGTGGGCTTCCAAGACTCGGTCTAAGCTCTTGTAGAAGGGCCGGGAAGTGTAATAGCCTGTCCAGTAATGATCCTCCCGGTCCGCATAGGAGAAGAAATCCCCGCTCAGCACAGGAAACCCTGGAGGCCGGGCCCCTGGCTCCACCCCTGTCCTCTTGTACAGGGCGTCAAAATAGTCTGAAAGAGTGCCGAACTGGGCCTGTGGGAACCCCCAAAACCCACTCCCATCAGTTCTAGAGCCTCCTGGAAATTGGCCACAGTGCTGCAGTCGGGGGTGAGGCAGGGGCTCTGGGCTCAAAGCAGGAACTGTACATCCTGCCATTCTGGATCTGACAGAAGTGAGGGAGCCTGGGATTGAATTCTGACATAAAAGGGCACCTTGCCCAAGAATTGGGAAGGAACCCCTGCTTTGGAGTTGGGAACCCAGAGCACAGATTCTCATAGGAAAGGGTGGGCTGCAGCACTGCGAAGCCCCCTCCCCAGCCAAGTGCCCCTCACACCTGCACATGGAGGTCAGGCCTGCTGTTGAAGAAGTCAAAGAGCCGCTGGTAATTGAAGAACTGGGCATCCCACTCCTGGGGCTTGTCATATCGGAAGTCATCTCCCAGAGGCACCAGGAGGACGTTGCTTCGGAACAGACGCGACTTCTTCCGGTATTGGTCCAGGAGCAGGGCTGCCCTGACGCAGGAAAAAAACATGGGCCCAACGTGAAGTCTCAGCAGGAAAACAGCGCCACGCACAGCCATCCCTACAGCAAGCTGCTCAAAGACATCCCGTCTATTAAGGAGTGGTTCAGCGAAGACGGACACCTCCTGGGACAGGAGCCCCAGTCCCAGGGGAATCCAGTGTTCTCTGGACAGTTCTGACAGTCAGCATGTTCTATTTTATGTTAGGCTGTTGAGATCCTGGTTCTGACACTCCCGCCTCATTCTGACCACCAGTTAGCGATGTGGCACCGGCGTTGAGTCTGGATCCCGGAGCCACATCACACCAGCTCGACAAGTACTTGCTGAGCAAGTGTGGACAAGTAACTGCTCTGAGCCTCCATTTCTGGCAAAGTAAGGATAACATCAGTAGGTACCCATATGTTATGAGAATGAAAATAGATTGAATGGGCTGAGCACAGTGGCTCAGGCCTGTAATCCCAGCACTTTGGGAGGCCAATGCAGGCGGATCATCTGAGGTTAGGAGTTTAACCAACCTGGCCAACAGTGAAACTAAAAATACAAAATACACCTGTCTCTACTAAAAATACAAAAATTAACCAGGTGTGGTGGCACACATCTGTAATTCCAAGTACTCAGGAGGCTGAGGCAGGGGAATCACTTGAACCCAGGAGGCAGAGGTTGTGGTGAGCCGAGATCGCACCACTGCACTCCAGCCTGGGTGAGAGAGGCTGTCTCAAAAAAATAAAATAAAATAAAATAAAATGAATTGAATGAATGAATACTTGTTACACACTTAGAATAGTGCCTGGTACATAACAGGAACTATATATAAACATTTATTTTCTTTTCATCCAAATTACTGGCAAAATCGTTAGAAAAAGAGAGCCCTGTGGCACACCAGCAGAAGCCCTCCTGCTTTAATTGGCACGTTATAAATATCACAGTCCAAAGAGTCAACTAATCTACTTAGTGGCGCTGGCCCAGCGTGTACTTTTCTACTTTGTTCTCATGAGAGGATTCCTCAAATACCACTTTCCCCTAACTTAGCAGTTTAATAAGCCTTTCAAAGGAGAACCTGGTTACCTTTCATGGCCTGTTCTTGTAAACCTAGGCCAGCCTCACTGATCACAATTGCTGTTTAGGAAACATCATGCCTTCATAGCCCTAGATTCTTGCCTGGAATCAGCATTTAGACTTCTGGAAACAAAAGACCACTTTCTTTCCCTTTTGGTCACGTTTCAACTGCTGGACATTATGGAAAAATCAGAGCATTGCAACATACAAACCAGTCCAACTTGTTATATTCTTAAGGTTCTGTCTAAATTGCTGTTTGTGTCAAATCTTAACTAATACTTTCCCCCGAGGCCTGAATTCAGCAAGAGTGACATCCTTAGGGGTCCCTACATCCTCTCAAAGAGGATAGGTCTGTTTTCTCAGACGCTGGAGGCTGTCTTATGGGACTGAATGTGGATCTGAATGGATTCTCGTGGTTGACTTAAAGCCCAGTCAGAACACTGGCACTAAGTGAATGTGCGTGAGCCTGAAGTTTGTAAGATCCAACAGCTCACCTGGGAATCATTCACCTCGAAGCTGTCAGCTGGCCCTGGCAGTTTGTTAGGGCACCAGAAAGCACTCATGTGAGAAAATAAAAGCATTCTGTGACAGGTGGTTGCTAGAGCCGTCCCAGTTTTTCAGGAGACTTGGTAAGGAGCTGCTGATGCAGATGAGGCAAGCCTCAACTCACCACCTGAGCCCACCCTCCACACCGCACAGCCCATGCCAGGGCTAGGCCTCCTGACTCCTCTGTGAAGCAAAAGGACTGGAAGCAGATACCTCTCTGCCACATTGGCCTCTGTGATGGCCCGTGGTGGCACCTTCCAAGGGCAGTTGATGCGCCCACCAGGCAGGCGTTTAAAATCAAATTGGCAGCAGATCTTGGGATCCGGGCCACAGGTGTGGGGTATGTCATAGCTGTAGAAGGGCATCATGTGACAGAAGATGTCGGTGCTGGAATCGGAGTCTGCAGAAGACATACCATGTAGTCACCGCCAGCGGGCAGCCTCTGGACGTCAGGAGGGCAAAGATCTGCTAGGGCTAAAGGCAGCCCTGATAGACCATGAGGCTGTAGCTGGACCTAGGGCCAGAGGGAGTATGTATTCCAGAGGAAAGACACAGGGGGTTCCTTGAGGGGACGGGCACACAGGGCACGCTGAAGCCCTTAGGACAGAAGGCCCTGCAGAGGCCAGAGGCCAGTATGACCCTCCCCTAACCAGAGGGTGGGACCATTTCTGGCAGTCCACACCAGTGACTGCAGGTCTGCTCTGAAGTACAGTGGGGGTCTTAGTTCTGATAGCCCTTCTCTTCCCCAGTGAAGGCTATGTTGCACTGACCCCCTCTACCCTATCTGGCCTTACCCCATGTCTGCCTCCACATGAACTCTAGGCTGTGGGTGGCAGCAAAGTGCTTCTTGATGGCATAGTGCACTCTCTGAATCAGCATGCTGGTGAGGTTGGCACGGCGCAGCAGGTAAGGCATGGTGGAGCTGTATCCAAAGGGGTCCACTGCCCAGCCAGAGCGGGGGGTTGCACCTGGGCAGGACATGGAAGCCAGAGAGGACCTCAGGGCCTGCCCTCTTGGCCTCCCAGGTGCTAGACTCCAGCTCATGTCTTGGTTGTCAGTGGACAGATGACATCACACCAGGCCCACATGGTGGGATCTGCCCAGAAAGGAACCACCCCTGCTATAGCACTGTGGGCCCAGGCCGGGGGGCAGATCCCCATGCCTGTGCCTGGACTTACCAAGATTTCTCTCCAGCCACTGGTGTCCTTCGATGAGCTGGTCAATCAATGCAAAGTAGTGGGAGTTGGCCTCATCCGGCATCACCCAGCCTCCTGTCGCAATCTCCAGCTGCCCGTTTCCCACCAGCCTATAGTTAAAGACTCACACTCAGGATAGAGTAGAACACTCTGCCTAGTCCTGCCAACCAGATGTCAGGGCCTGTGTGCACGGGCCTCACGGAACCAGTTCTCCCAAGTTCACGACCAAGAGAACACACACTCGCCCTCCTTTCCCTGCAGCCAATCTCACACTGTCCTGGCCCTGCTTATCTCGGGACCTCTGTCTGTTCTTGCCTTCTCTCCACCATCACTCATCTCTGCCACAGCTCCCTGGGCCTCTCCCTGCCACCTTGGCACCCACAACTTAAGGTAAGACCCATTGACCCAGCCTGGGGCTTGAACGAGGCCCTTCCAGTCTCCCTGCCTGGTACTGGCCTTCGGACTGCAGCCCTCTTCTGGGCATTGATGTTGTCCCACCACTTGGCAAAGAAGGAGACCTCTGCCCAGAGGAAGCGCCGCCGAGGGTCTTCCTGTAGCTTAGACACCATGCTGTTGAGGATGTGCTGGGTCTGCTCTGTGTAGTACTTGTCAAAGGTCTTGATCCAGCCTGGGGAGCCAATGTAGGGTCCCCTGAGGATGCCACCATCTTCTTTGACGTCCCTCCCTTGCACTGGCCATCAGAAATCCCACTCCACACTCCAGCTCCCAGGAGTCTGCAGGGTCCTCACCTGGGTCATTGTGAGAGTGGGGCACCACAAACACCTGGAGGTCTTCAGCATCCCAGTCCTGCGGGTCATAGGAGATGTCGAAGCCTTGCCTCCACACGCCACCATCCACGTTGTCAAACGGCAACTCCTCCGACACAGCGAGCATCTGCCAGGGGGGAGGCAGCTCAGTGTCCCATTCGTGGCTGCAGGTCCCCGCCGGCTCTGATCCTTACCTGCAACTCTGGCTTCTGGCCCCGGCCCCCCAAAGCAAACTGGCAGTCCTGAGGGGAGATGGAGAAGAAGCTGGGCCGGGGCTCTGGCGGCACTACCCAGGAGCCGTTGACTGTGTAGTAGGGCAGCAGGGCGGGCGGGCCCTCTGCATTGGCCGTCAGCTCCAGCACGGAGTCCTTGATGTGGCTAATAATCTCATGGTTCTCCTCCAAAAGCTGCTCCAGCTGCTCAATGCGGTTCTGCAGCACAGAAATTTGGCTCTGCCAAAAAACCAGAAAGCAATCACTCACAGCTCTCTATGCCACAGGGAGGGTCTCTGCTTGGGGTCCACCACCTGAGGCCCGACTCTAATTCTTCCCTTATCTGTTGAAGCCAGACCATGGGCCTACAGGGACAGATGATGCCATTCAGATCAAGGGAGCTACACACAGCACCACTGAGAACTACACTCCACTTGGGCTGGGAGAACCATCACTCTAGCTCAGGGATGGCAAAGATTTCATTTCACATACCTAGTCTCAGCAATTGGTGTTGCCTGTGCTGAGAAGGATTTCATCAGGGCATGGCAAAGAATCCTGTAATCAATTAGCAATGTGTGCCAAGAACTCAGGAGGGGCTGGGCACGGTGGCTCACGCCTACAATCCCAGCACTTTGGGAGGCCAAGGTGAGTGGATTACCTGAGGTCAGGAGTTCAAGACTACCCTGACCAACACAGTGAAACCTCGTCTCTACTGAAAATACAAAAATGAGCTGGGCATGGTGGCAGGTGCCTGTAGTTCCAGCTACTCAGGAGGCTGAGGCAGGAGAATCGCTTGAACCCAGGAGGCGGAGGTTGCAGTGAGCCAAGATCGCACCACTACACTCCAGCCTGGGACAAAGAAAGAAAAGAAAAAAAGAAAAGAAAAAGAATTCAGGAGAACAGAGCAACAAGATTCATTGCATTTTTTGTTTTCTTCCTTCATTCTTCTATTTTTAAGAGATGGGGTTTCACCATATTGGCCAGGCTGGTCTCGAACTCCTGACCTCGTGATCTGCCCACCTCAGCCTCCCAAAGTGCTGGGATTACAGGCATGAGCCACCATGCCTGGCCTTCTTCCTTCCTTCTTTTTGCCATCACTGTTTTTAGCCGAGAGTTTCTACAAAACCTGACTATTGGGAAGGAAGGTTCCTGTCCTGTACTGACATTACCCTTCAGCCAGGGGCCATATCCTGAGCCCAGGTGACTTGTATACAAAGAAATCAGCAACCAGGCACGACTCACCCGCGGGAAGTTCCCACCATTCTGGTGTCGGGTGGGATCGTGCTGCACTCGGTCCAGCATGAGGTAGAGCGAGAAGACTGCCACACAGAAGATGGCAGCCCCACACACTGTCACCTGCTTCTTCAGCTTCATACTGGCCTCCACACACACCTGGCAGGGAGGACACCATCTGTGGTTCTAGCATGCAAAATCCCCTTGGCAGTCTTTCCACCAAATGCCCCAGTGAGTTCCTGAGGGCTGTTCCCAAGGAACACTTCGCCTGGCTCCAATAAAAAAGCCAGCTTTGGGCTGGGTGTGGTGGCTCATGCCCATAATCCCAGCACTTTGGGAGGCCAAGTCAGGCGGATCATGAGGTCAGGAGCTCAAGACCAGCCTGACTGACATGGTGAAACCCCATCTCTAC